AGATAAAAATTCAGGAAGTTCTGATAAAAATCCTCCAGGCGGTTTTGGGGGGCGATAAATTATAACAAATATGATAGGTTGCAGCCCTCCAACTTTAAGAGTGAGAACTTCAAAGAGTTAAATTCATCACAGCGTACTTGATGACATTTAAAATTTTTCCTATACACGCTCACTAGCCCACCACCACGACCACTGACCCTCGGTTGACTAAAACAATCATATTGAGGCGGACACAGTTCAGCTAGCTGGCTATAGTCATTCATCTGCAACCAGGATTCAGTTAAAAACATAAAATCTAGATTTCCATACAAGATAAAATCATTTAAGATAAAAGTCTTACTTGAAAGTGATCTCACATTGAAGAGAGCCATTTTAAATGAGTTTGTTCTGGGTGCTGGAGTTGGTGCAGTTGTTCTAATCCTTAAGAGATTACTAATATTTCTGTGTGGGATGTGCACATTTCGGTTTACTGGTCTATGTGTGATGATGACAGGAATAGAAGTCTGTGGAACAGCGCTGGGAGCAGACGGCTTTACATGCCAGCAGGTGGAGACAGTTGTTTGTGGCAGTGAGGCAGAGATCTGTTCAGTGAGCGGTGGTGTGTCCAGGTGTGCTGCATGAATGATTAGTCATTCATATAAGTCATGTGTGGACCGCACCACATGCTGTATGTGCGCAGCTAACATTTCTGAGCCCCGTTTGTTTGGGCGAAGTCCGTCTGTCTTAAAAAGAGACATTCTTTGCCAGAAAATATTAAAATTATCCACATAACACACACGGTGAGCCCTGCAGGCGGACTGGAGCCAGCACATCTGTTACTGTTTCCACTGTTATCTGCAGGGGTGCTGGTTCAGACTGTGAACCAAGAGTTCTCAGCTTGTCAGGCAGACAGAGAAACAGTGTGTGAGCTCTTGTTGCCTGTTCATACCTGAGTGTATCTAGTCCAGCTGACAGCAGCTTTACTCCTGAGTCTCCTGGATGGTTGAAGCTCAGGTCCAGCTCTCTCAGACTGAAGGGGTTGGATCTCAGTGCTGAGGCCAGAGAAGTACAACCTTCCTCTGTGATAAGACATCCTGAAAGCCTGAAGACACACACACACACACACACACATAATATATTTTTATCTATTCTTTCCTTGTCAGTGTGAATTCATAATTAATGATTCAAATTATCAAAATATTAAATTACCCCATCAGTCCACTGCTGTAAAATTCTTCCCTTCATCAGCAAAGTATTTTGACTAGGAAATGTAAGCATAGCTATGGTCTATGCTCCAATTGGTTCTGAAACTACTTTTTACTTAATGTATTGATAACTCAGTGACTGTGTTTGATGTGAATGAGAGCATAGACTGTATCAAAACCGAGGAACGAATACTTGACAGCTGAATAACTTGAGATGGTGGCCTGTGTAAACAAAGAAAATGGTGGCAAGTTGCTACCAGACAATAAAGCGAAAAACTAGCGCGGTGAGTTAATATCTAAACCGCTGGCAACAAAAGTGAGGACACCCCTAAGTGAAATTGTCCAAATGGGGCCCAAAGTGTCAATATTTTGTGTGGCCACCATTATTTTACAGCGCTGCTTTAACCCTCTTGGGCATGGAGTTCACCAGAGGTTGCCACTGGAGTCCTCTTCCACTCCTCCACATCACTGAGCTGGTGGATGTTAGAGACCTTGCGCTCCTCCACCTTCCGTTTGAGGAGCCCCACAGATGCTCAGCAGGGTTCAGGTCTGGAGACCTGCTCGGCGAGTCCGTCACCTTTACCCTCAGCTTCTTTAGTGAGGCAGCGGTCGTTCTTGGAGGTGTGTTTGGGGTCGTTATCATGTTGGAATAAAAATTATTCTAAGTTGTGAATCCTGTCGTGTGAAGTCCATCGCTCTCTGTCTGCTAACTTCTCTCATCCTGCACCATGTTGATGTAGAACAAAAAAACCTTCAGAGCTTCAGAGCTAGATCAAATGAATGACGTGTATACAAGTATTATTCTGTTTGAAATAAATAAACTGTTTCATAGTAGTTACAGTTTTGTGCAAAATGAATTAAAGGCCTGTCCCAAACATACAGTAGGCAGGATCAAATCAGGGATTTTAGCAAATAAAAGTTTTACCCAAAGTTAATCTTGGTCTCAGGACATGGTTCCAGTAATCCATGTCCTTAGTCTGCTTGTCTTCAGCAAACTGTGTACGGGCTTTCTTGTGCATCATCTTTAGAAGAGGCTTCCTTCTGGGACGACAGCCACGCAGACCAATTTGATGCAGTGTGTGGCGTATGGTCTGAGAGGCTGACCCCCCACCCCTTCAACCTCTGCAGCAATGCTGGCATAGACTGTTAATAAAGACATCATGTCTAGTAAAGTAGTGCTGACTAAGGGTAAAACTTCTTTAAGCAGCCTAGTTGGGATGGAGTCTAAAAGACAAGTTGATGATTTCAAATATAGGCTTAATAAGCCCGACAAGCAAACCGAATTTAGACGAATCTATCAACAAATTGGCACAGAACTGGAATAGAATATATCAGGAAAAGACATTAACAATGCATATGACAGATTCTTAGAACCTTTTAAGTATTTATATGACAAAAATTGTCCAATAAAAGAATATAGCAGACCCGGGCCCATGCCCGCCATGATTTATTGTCCATGGAACCCGCCATGGCTCGGGGGCCTGTGGAGAATAAACGACCGAGTTTTAAATGAAAGGGGCTTGCGGTTACGAAGATCTGAAATGAATGTATGTATATGGCAGTGTTATTTTATTTCCATTTTATTGCACCACCTGGAGGCCGATTGATGCAAAATTTCACACAGGCTCTTGGGAGGCCATGCCAGATAAGGTCCCCGAGTTTGGTGTAGATCGGACATTGCAAACGTAAGATGTGACATTACATCCTGTTTGACATTACATCCTGTTTTTAGCTTTTGGCCGTTTTTTGTTGGATCAAAATTCCCTCTACAAACTTTCTTCGGCTTGGTCCAGCGATGGTCCATGCCAAGTTTCGTGTCGATCGGACTTGCGGCTTCGGAGGATTTAATTAAAATAGGTTTTCCAGTTTTCGCGATTTTGCTAAATGAAAACGTCATCGCACAGAGGCGTGTCCTATATATATCGCAATCGGCAGCATCCCCCAAACACGTAGACATAAGGTTTATGAATGTAGTAACATGTAGTGGGCTGTAGTTATGAGGCAAAATGTCCTTTAGTTGAAAATCCCTGTGGAATGAATGGGATTGTCTGATGGTATTTGAGCTTCGATTATAGCGCCACCTTTTGGCCGAAGTGCACCAAATTTTTCAGGTGTCATCAGGGCCCCATGGGGAACAGTTGACCCAATTTGGTGTCAATCGGACTTGGAAAATGCATGTAAGTGAATGGGGGGAGGGGGGTTATTCTGTTTCTTCCTGGTTATTATTAGTTTCCCTGTGGCTTTCTGCCTGCGTCTCATTAGTCCTGAGCCCCCCTCACCTGTGTTGCTCCCGCCCCACTCGTTGGTCCCTGTGTCTATATACTGGATGCCTGCTTGTCTCTTCAGTCTTGGTCACATCCTTCGTCTATGGGGAGTGTTCTGCCTTGTGCTCCGTGTAATGGGAATTTCATGAGAACCATCTTTAAAACACTGTCTTGTAACTAATCTCACTAGGGGCCTCCAGCCTCTTGGGTATGGGGTCAATGGAAGGTAAATGTGTGTGATGTGGGTGTTTTCCCTGTTCCCTGGAATATTCCCTGGTTTTTGGATTGCCTTGTGTTTGTTGGATTTACCTCAGTTTGGTCTTACCCTTATGCTTCCACGTAAGCTTGTTTCAGTTTTTTTTTTTTTTGAGTAATTAAATCCTTTTGAACTGCATCCTCGCCTTTTGGTCTGCATTTGGGTCCAGACCTCAGCCTTCACTCAGCCAACCCATGACAAAAATAAATAATATAAACAATATTAAAGGAATATGGGCTATAATGAATAGTATTATAAGAAATCGTCCTAGACAAATACAGTAGGTTTTCCTAAGTATTTTATTGATAAGGATAAGAACTATTATAATATGGATGATGTGGCTAACAGTTTTAATCAGTTCTTTGTAAATGTGGGACCTGACCTAGCTGGGAAAATCACTGTAATAAATTAATAGAGAGAAATCCAAGCTCAATGTTTCTCAGGCCAGTGGATGAAAAAGAAATATTGGAAATTGTGAGCAAATTCAAGATAAAAAGTCTACCGATTACAATGACATTGACATGACTATAGTGAGAAGTAATTGAGGGGATCTCAAAACCATTAATATTTATATGTAATTTATCATTTGAAACAGGTTCATTTCCAAACAAAATGAAAATAGCCAAAGTCATACCTCTGTATAAAAATGGCAGCAAACACCAGTTCACAAACTACAGACCTGTCTCCTTACTTCCACAATTCTCCAAAATACTAGAAAAAATCTTTAAAAACAGATTAGAAACATTCTTGGATAAGCAACAATTACTCACAGACAGTCAATATGGATTCAGATTAAACAGATCTACATTGATGGCAATAATAGAATGAATTGAGGAAATCACCAGTGCCATAGATCATAAAAATTATGTAATGGAGGTATCTGTACGGTGTCAGGGGTATAGTATTAGACTGGGTGAGGAGTTATCTTAGTAAAAGACAGCAGTTTGTGAAGTTGGGAAGCTCCAGGTCAGTATGTTTGGACATTGCTTGTGGTGTCCCCCAGGGGGTCATTTCTGGGACCAAAACTGTTTATTTTGTATATTAATGAAATATGTTCAGTATCTAAGTTGTTGAAGATGGTGTTATTTGCAGATGACACAAATATATCTGTTCAGGTGAAAACCTTCAGCAACTAGTGGAAGATGTCACTAAAGAAATTAACAAATTAAAAATATGGTTTGATAGAAATAAATTATCATTAAATTTAAATAAAACTAAAATAATGTTATTTGGAAAATACAATATGAATATTCAGGTGAACATACAAATAGATGGGGTTATAATTGAGAGTTCATGAAAATAAATTTCTTTTTATTATATTAATTATAGATGACAGAATCAGTTGGAAATCACACATTTATCATGTACAATCTAAACTATCAAGATCAATTGCAGTATTAAATAAAGCCATATTTCATTTACTGTGCTGAGATTTGGGGACACAACTACAAAAGTTCATTATATTCACTATCTATTCTCCAAAAAAGAGCAATAAGGATTATTCATAATGGTGGGTATAGGGATCACACTCACTCATTATTCTTACAGTCAAAATTATTAACATTCACAGATCTGGTGAAATATCAATCAGCCCAAATACTGTTTAAAGCCAAAAATAACCTATTGCCAAGAAATATTCAAATATTATTTAGGGAGAGAGAGGGAGGTTATAATTTAAGGGCGAAACACAACACAACAAACAGGATACGGACAACCAGGAAATGTTTTTGCATTTCAAGCTCTGGAGTAAAGATCTGGAACAGTCTTAATGAGGAACTAAAGCAATGTCCAAACATAAATCAGTTTAAAATCAGTTATAAAGATATGGTTTTCAATGGTTACAGGGATGAAGAAGGGGGTGAATAACCAATGAGTTTTTCTGGGGCTAGTAATTATCTTCAGTTTCATTGTGGTCATTTATTTCTGAGTTGCTGGAATTTATTCTTTCCTATTATATTTTTTTTATTTTCTTGTTTAAATGATTGATGTACATTTTGAATTGCTTTTGGATATAACAAAGTAGATGTGCAAATATTTGGAACGCGGGTCGATTACTTGTAAGCTTTAGATTTTTGGATAGGGGGTGGGATTAAATAAGGTTTTTTTTCTTCTTCCCACTCCTTTTCTAATCTAAATCACTTCGATTTGTTTACTTGATTTCATTTTCTTGTCAAATGTTCTTTTTACATATATTCGTAACAAACATAATTACCAATGGTTTAGATGAAGCACAACACAACCTGTTGTTATCAGCTGGTCCGTTTGTTTTGGAGAGGAGGAGACCGACTTTGGCTCCATGTAAAAACTCCAATTTAGCGTAACTCCATCCACAGCTGTTAGCTGTAAATGCACCGCTGCACACTGGCTGCTATTTCTGGGCAATAAATTTTATTCCAAAGTACGATCTGAGGCCGAGACTTGTGTGTGCCATTTGACTTTCAGGTCCAAGGTTTTAACTGCAGTGTATAATCTACACTGTTAAAACCTAAATATGTTGGGTATCTTGCTACATTTTCTCTGTTAACATAAGCTGAATGCTGACCTGAGAGTCTCTAATGCACAGTGTGGACTCCCCAGTCCAACAGAGAGCAGCTTCACTCCTGAATCCCGCAGGTCGTTGTTGCTTAGGTCCAGCTCTCTCAGACTACAGGATGGGGTGCAGAGAACTGAGGATAGAGCTTCACAGCTTCTCTCTGACAGATTACAGCCACTCAACCTAGAAAATATAGACAATACACATGTGAAAACATTCGTCTCTGTGTTTGAAATTACTTACACCTACAGTATATTTTGACAGCAACTATTTTCATATCAGTGTCTGAAAAGGGAAGTGGTGTACCGTAATGACGATGAAGATAAATGACAAAAACATAAATGTGACAGTTATGGCTGACTCTTTACATGTTTATTAATCCTGACCTGAGAGTCTCCAGTGTACAGTCTGGACACTCCAGTCCAGCAGAGAGCAGTTTCACTTCTGAGTCCTGCATTAGGTTGTTACTCAGGTCCAGCTCTCTCAGATTAGACGATTGGGAGCCAAGAACTGACATCAGAGCTTCACAACTTCTCTCTGACAGATTACAGCCACACAGCCTAGAAAATATGAACATCGCATTTTTGAAAATATTACTCAGTGTTTATATGATTTAGGTTTACATATATATAAATATAATCTTTATTTGTAGAGCACTTTTCAAAAACAAGTTACAAAGTGCTTTAACAAGTGTAAAGACAATAATACCCAAAAAACAATAATACAGAAACAATACAAGATAAAAGCAAGAAAACATTGAAAAGACTAAAATACACGTTTAAGATAAATATAAAATAAGTAAAATAGAATAAAATAAAAGGGATAAAATAAATATTTAGGTACAAACTGCAAACTTCATAAAAGAGAAGTAGTACAATGACTGAAGAAAAATGACAACAGCATCATGTGACAATTGTAGTTCACTTTTTATAGCTTTATTAATCCTGACCTGAGAGTCTTCAGTGTACAATGTGGACTCTCCAGTCCAGGAGAGAGCAGCTTCACTCCTGAATCCTGCAGGTCATTGTTACTCATGTCCAGCTCTCTCAAACTAGAAGACTGGAAGCTGAGAACTGAGGACAGAGCTTCACAACTTCTCTCTGACAGATTACAGCCACACAGCCTAGAAAATATGAACAGCACATATGTACATAAGGTGGTGATGGCGCAAGGGTGGTGATGACGCAGTGGATAAGACATACGCCTTTGGTGTGAGAGACCCATGTTCAATTCCCAAATGTTACACATCCACCAATGTGTCCCTGAGCAAGACACTTAACCCCTAGTTGCTCCAGAGGTGTGTGACTTTTGACATAAATAACAATTGTAAGTCGCTTTGGATAAAAGCGTCAGCTAAATTAATAAATATAATGTAAATGAAAACGTTACTCTCTGTATTTGATATGATTTAGGATTATATTTTGGTAGGCACCGCTTTTATAAAAGAGAAGTAGTACAGTGACTGATGGCGATAACATCATGTGACAATTGACCCTTCACAAAGCCACGCCAGCCCTAATGACTGTGTCTGAGTCTGACAAACGGTTGGACTTATCAGACTTAGTATGGCGCTGCCACTATCTGTAACTGCACTCCCTGGAGAAATATTGTTTAATTTTTGGAAAAACTAAAGAGCATTCTCAGAGAATTATACAGAAATGTTTGCATTATGCATTTCAAGGTTAGATTCAGGCTGTCAAACTGACAAAAAAAACAAAACAAAGATAGAAGCTATATCCTACCGATCACAGAGTAAAAGTGAACCACCACATCACCTGATCATTGAGACAGAGGACAATTATATTAAGGATAACACTGTTGCTTTCAACTGTGTAGGTCTATATTCCCTATTGCAAACATTGAAATGAAAAGCAGTAGGCCTATATAACGTTACATTCAGTAGTAAGTTAGGTAGCATTAACTAGCTAACATTACATTAGGAACAATCCACAGCCTACATTTTTCTGCATTTATTTTAGGTTTTGGAAAGGGAATAAATCGTACTTCTCCTTTCAACCTCTCCTGGTAGTGATTGTAACTATTACAAATGTTCCAGTAACAGCGTTTGACCATATCTTGGTAAAACTTGGCAAAAAAGCTAGACAACGACTCCTTTTGCATGCTACAGCATTGCCATGGAGGTTTCGGACTTCAGTTAGAGTGTGTCCTATAAGGTGCTGTGATTAGCCAGCTTGCGGTTTTGGGACGTGGCTTAGCGAAGGGTGAATTATGGTTCAATCCTGACCTGAGAGTCTCCAGTGTAGTGTGTGGGCACTCCAGTCCAGCAGAGAGCACCTTTACTCCTGAATCCTGTAGGTCGTTGTTACTCAGGTCAAGCTCTCTCAGACTAGAGGACTGGGAGCTGAGAACGGAGGACAGAGCTTTACAGCTTCTCTCTGACAGATTACAGCCACTCAGCCTAGAAAATATGTACAGCACATATGTGAAAGATTTTCTCTCTGTATTTTAAATTATTTACAATCATATTTTGAAAAGAGACGTGGTACAATGACTGAAGAAAAGGACAACAACATCAAATCACAGTTCTGGTTCTCCCTTTATAAGTTTTCATAATCCGGACCTGAGAGTCTCCAGTGTGCAGTGTGGACTCTCCAGTCCAGCAGAGAGCAGCTTCGCTCCTGAATCCTTCAGTTTGTTGTTACTCAGGTCCAGTGCTCTCAGACTAGATGACTTGAGGCTGAGAACTGAGGACAGAGCTTCACAGCTTCTCTCTGATAGATTACAGCCACTCAGCCTGAAGGGGGGATAGTGAGAGATATTCAGTGATAAAGACAAACGCTGATACTGTTTGTTTCATCTAACACAAAAAACATCACATTTATACAGTTTCCTATAGTTTTTATTGCTGTGTTTATTATTGGGATCTTTAGTCAAATCAGTTTGATCCCAGTAATACACAAATTTATTTTATCTTAAAATCAACTACATTGTATAATATTTTGTTTTCATTTCATGGCTGCATTAATCTGTGGTGGTACAATGAAACTAGTTTTTCAGTAAGACATTCTTACACTGAGAACAACCCTATACATGTGATACAGTGAGTATCTGCAGTTATCTGTGCACTTACAGAGCTTTGTTGGAGGCTTTGACCACTGGCAGCAGCCGCAGAAGAACCACCTCTGAAGCAGAGTATTTCTTCAAGTCAAACACGTCCAGATATTTTTCTGATGACAGTAAGATGAAGCCCAGAGCTGACCACTGAGCAGGAGACAGTTTATCTGTGGAGAGACTTCCTGAACTCAGGTACTGTCGGATCTGCTCCACTAGAGAACAATCGTTCAGTTCATTCAGACAGTGGAACAGATTGATGCTTCTTTCTGCAGACAGATTCTCACTGATCTTCTTCTTGATGTACTCGATTGTTTCCTGATTGGTCTCTGAGCTTTTTCTTTTTCAGTAGGTCTCGTAGGAGAGTCTGATTGGTCTGCAGAGAAAGTCCCATGAGGAAGCGGAGGAACAAGTCCAGGTGTCCATTTGGACTCTGCAAGGCCTTGTCAATAGCGAACCTGTGGACCTCTGACACAGATGTTTTGCTGAAAACCATTCGCACATGCTTGCCAAAGGTTTGCCCTGGCTCAGACATGACATTCTTGTTTTTGTTAATGAGTGCCTTCTCTACATACAAAGCTGCCAAAAACTCCTGAACACTCAGATGGATAAAGCTAAACATCTTGTCTGCTTCATCCTTCCTTCCCACGTTCCTCTTTAAAGATCTCTGTGAAGACTCCTGAGCACACCGAGGCTCCACTGACATTAATGCCGCTCTCTTTCAGGTCTGATTCGTAGAAGATCAGGTTGCCCTTTTCCAGCTGGTGGAAAGCCAGTTTTGCTAATGACTTAATGTACTGAATGCACTTTTCTGGGCCGTATTTCTTTTTTGCTGATCAATCTGAAACACCAAGAATTCTGTGTACATCTCAGTCAGGGTCCTGGGCAGCTCTCCTCTCTCTCTGGTCTTCAACACATCCTCCAGAACTGTAGCAGTGATCCAGCAGAAGACTGGGATGTGGCACATGATGTGGAGGCTTCGTGATGTCTTGATGTGGGAGATGATTCTGCTGGCCTGCTCCTCATCTCTGCATCTCTTCCTGAAGTACTCCTCCTTCTGTGGGTCAGTGAACCCTCTAACCTCTGTCATGCTGTCGACAAACTCTCGAGGGATTTGATTGGCTGCTGCAGGTCGTGTGGTTATCCAGAGGCGAGCAGAGGGAGCAGTTCCTTTTGATGAGGTTTGTCAGTAGCACATCCACTGAGGTGGAATCTGTCACATTGAAGTTTACTGGCTGATTTTCCCAGGTAGAGAAGTCCAGATGAAGACGGCTCTCATCCAGTCCATCCAAAACAAACAGAAGTTTGAATTTACTTTTGTCATAGTTGGTGTTTCCTGATGACTGCAGAGTTTCAAAGATGTAGTTAAGAGCTTCTTCCTTGATTTCTCTGGTTTCCCTGATGCAATTATGAATGAGTTCTGTCAAACTAACTTTTCCCCTGCCCATAAATTCAGCTGGCGGAAGGTGAAGGGAAAAATCAGATGCATATCTTGATTGGATTTTTTTTCAGCCCAGTCCAACACAAACTTGCTCACAAGAAATGTTTTGCCAATTCCTGCGATTCCACTGGTCAGTACTGTTCTTATGGGTCTGTATTTTCCAGAGGGGGGTTTGAACATGTCAGTAGGTCTAATTGGTTTGTCTGTTTCTGCTGGCTTCAACACTGCCTCAATCTGCATGACCTCATGCTGTGTGTTTATGCTTATGTCAGCCCCAGCAGTGATGTACAGCTCTGTGTAGATATCATCCAGACGTTCCTTCTTCTGCATCCATCCTTCTTGTATACATATGAACTTGTCCTGAAAGTGTGATTGAAGCATGTGTTGGTATATGTGATGGGTTGTGGCTCTGGTATTGGAACCATCATGTCTGTGTTGAACACAAATATAAAAATATAAGTATCAGGCTGTTTGTGCACACATATAGAAGCATTCTGTTCTTTAGGATTGTTTCCTAAGAACCAACGACATTTTCCTTTCAAATACAGCAATGGAGCCAGCTTAATGTCATAACCAAACATATTTGATACTGTTAGTAACGTCTCTGTTAAGGGGGTGCACACCTGCCACTTTGCCTCTTGATGCCCGAAGTGACCTTTTGGCATGGCAAAGTCCTTTATTCCTTTATTTTTAAAGGGCCGTTTGTGAACGCCTGCCTAAATAAAATTACCTACATGATGACCTTTCATTGTATTTTACAAGAACAACATGAAGAGAGCACGCACGGAAATTAACCCATTTATCACTTCTGTTGTTTTGGACAACTTAAGACACTTGAGTTTCTAATCCGTTGGTTATTAAGGTGCAAAGAATATGAATATTCCCAAAGACAACTTCTGTATGTGACGCTGAGCACGTGCACTTTTCTTTGGTTTCTTTGGTCGACCATGGCGAGGCCTGTTCTGAGTGGAACCTGTCCTGTTGAACCGCTGTACGGTCTTGGCCACCGTGCTGCAGCTCAGTTTCAGGGTCTTGGCAGTCTTCTTACAGCCTTGACCATCTTTATGTAGAGCAACCGTTCTTTGTTTCAGGTCCTCAGAGTTCTTTGCCATGAGGTGCCATGTTGAACTTCCAGTGAGCAGTATGAGAGAGTGTGAGAGCGATAACACCAAGTTTAACACACCTGCTCCCCGTTCACACCTGAGACCCTGTAACACTAACAAGTCACATGACACCGGGGAGGGAAAATGGCTAATTGGGCCCTATTTGAACATTTTCATTTAGGGGTGTCCTCCCTTTTGTTGCCAGCGGTTTAGACATTAACGGCTGTGTGATGTGTTTATTTTGAGGGGACAGCAGATTTACACTGTTATACAAGCTGCACACTCACTACTTTCTTTCTGTCATTTCTTTAGTGTTGAACATGAAAAGATAGAATCAGATATTTACAGACATGTGAGGGTGAACTCACTTAGAGATACTGTATCTGTTGCAGAGAAATCTATTGAAGTTAGCATGTTCGCCAAGTTGTTAGAAACAAGCTTAAACAAAGCTGTCTGTATGTAGTTCAACCATTAATTTATTGTCGCTACATATCTAAAATTTGACAAACTTTTATAAACATAGCTGCTGGCTGAGACAGAATGACTCCCCATATTTGTTTGAAAATCACATTTTATAATGTAACTTTACCTTCAGTCTGATGAGAGCAGGTCCTCTGTTCTGTGGAGTTTCTTCAACATGACTGACATTCACTGAAAGAGAGAGGAATGTAGTTGTAGAATTTGAATGCTAGCAGGTGTCGTCATGCTGCTCAGTTTGCTATCATGCTGCTGAATCTCTGTATTCATTTGCAGTATGGTATCTATTTGCATTGGTGTTAATAAAGATATTTTCTTGTGATGTTGTCCAGCACATGCTTGTGTGTAGTAGTAATTTGAGGCTGTATTGGTTTGGGAGACAAACTTTAACTGTAGAATATTTCCTTTGTGTCAAAATGCAATTACTGTCTCTTACTCTCTTGCTTTATGTTTGTGTTGCTTCTCATAGGTTCGGTACACTTAGATGGAGTATTTCACTTGGACACTGTTTGTATCCTGCAGCATCTTTCAATTGCTCATTCACAAATGTGTGGGCAGTAACATCATCGTCATTTGTGTACAGTTCTGACATTATAGCCTGATCCTCATCACTGTTACTCTGCTGGTAAAACTCATGCATATTTGCCTGCTGCAGCAGCTTCCTCCACCCCTCAAACCGCTCCTTATGTGCTATATTTTTCATAAATGTCTCTCTCAGCAGAATCCTCTACACTCTCTTTGGGAGTTTCCTCAATTATCAGGTTTTTAATTTTCATCAGGTTGAAAATTCTCAGACTGCCGTGCCATCGTGTTTTTCATGTTTTCTACTTCCTGTGACTGACCTTGTGGTCCCGAGCTGGTGTCCAACAACTCTGTAGCAAATCATTCCTTTGGCTCTTCTTTAGAATCTGCTTGGTCACCTCCACAGCTCCAGGAAGTGTGTAGGTCTGGATCATCATTCACTGTGTCCCACGTCTTTGCGTTCTCCAGCTTGTTCTTCGGGATGGTTGAAGAGTTTTCAGACGTTTACTCATCTTTAAGGAACCACTTGAAGCACTTAATTCTTCTTCTCCAAGTTCATCCAGAGTGTTCAGGAGGACCTCTTTTGTCATTGTGGCCCTCTAGTCAAATCTGCAAATATCGTTGACCCTAAAGTTATCTGACTGGTGTCGTGTTGATCGTTGATTCTCCTGCAGACAGGGAGAGTTGTGAATCTGCCGACAAGCAGGACAAAATGAAGTGCAATGAACACTGCTACACTTAAGCAAACAGGAAGTATAGGGGAGCCAGGAGTGTGGTAACACTGGGTTAGCTGTAACACTGTCAGTTTGACCAATCAGAAAAGAGCTGCGGTGATGTCATAAATATTGTAGACTCCAATTTCCTTTTCAAGCTCTGTTAGCAACACCTGTGCATTTTACAACCAAAAAATGATTTTTGATTAATTTTTGCCAAGCATTCATTCTATTGTAGATGCAATTTTATAACTTATATCACCTAAAGTATCCGTTTCTCTAGTTTATTTGATTTTTGGATTCATGCTAACCTTGAACATACATAAATTAAACAGCTAGCTATGGAATGGCTGGTTTGTTGTCGGAACAGTTCAGAAATGTTGCATCTGTCTCCTTATGGTCACACATTCTCACTCCCACCCACATATTGATGCTTGGTCAAGTTAGCAACAACATATATGGAACGTCCGGTAAAGTTAGCAACATAAAT